GTTGGGCGCCATGGCCTTCATCGTCAACACCGCGGCCCAGCCTATGCTGTGGGCAGCCGGGGGACTCCGCTGGGCGTGGTACCAGATTACCCGGTGCTGCCAGCGGCGCGGAGGCGACGGGCCCGGCGCCCATCTCCCCCCACCCCCTCCGGCGCCTCTGCTGGTGCGCTGGCGCGGGCCGGGATTGGGCGGCGTGGTGGAAACGGAGTTCTACACGAAGGGGGTCCGCGGCGGGGGGGCCAATCGGGCGTGCAACCACGTGCTCCTGCGCAAGCACGGGCAGGTGGCCCGTGTCAGCTTCGCGGACCGGTATCGGCTGGATCGCCACGGACTCAACATTAAGATCGGGCAGGTTCTGGGGTGCACCAGTCGCAAGTGGCGGCTGAACCTCGAGGAGACCGGCAACGTGCATCTATGCCGTGCCGTCGAGTGCGCCTCATGCCCAGTGGCGCACCCCATGCATGTCGACCAGTACGCGGCCATCGACCACACGCAGATCGTGGACTTGGCTGAGCACGGTAAGGCCACAGCCTGCCGGGCAGTCGGCGTGGGACTCCGGAAGGTATTCGGAGTCCTCAAGTGGCTGCTCTGCCTGCCCTGGTCGGTGTTCGGATGGCTGTGCCGGGCCCGGCCGGAGCCCCGCTACATCACCGACGCCGCGGGTTACCGCCGCCTAGACATCGATTCGGAGAGCGAGGTGGAGGCTGAGGAGCGCCCCTGCCAAGCCGCACAAGTAGGGGTGCAGCTCGCAGGCGGCGCACGCCCCCTCCAGCCGGAGGGGTGCGGCGACCGAGGGATGCAGGAGGCGACTGTCCTGCTTCAGGAGGATGCAGAGGTGTCGGATGTCCCTCGGCCGGGGCATTGTCTCAATGCACAGGTGCATCTCTGCGCCCACCATGCTCAGAAGTATCGGTCCACCCTTATCGGCCGCAAATGCAGCCTTCCCACTTGCCTCCGCATGGCGAAGGGTAGCTGTGGGGGGGGCCCGATGCGCGGGGAGCACCTTCGACGGGATGAGGGCCACACCGCGCGCGTCGAGGCGACGGTCCAACCGGGGATCCTCGGGGGCCTGCGCCGTCGCATGAGAGTGCGGGCACCAAGCCCCGCCAAGGCGCGCGACTGGACCGCGCGCGCCGCCGATGGGGTAGGCGTAGCGCCAGGGCCGGTTTACCCCCCGCTCGCTGCGCCACCACCCCCCGCGGTGGCCCCATCCGTCGATCTTGAGCCCATGAGGCTGCAGGCTCTGGCCTCTGGACCGCAGCCGCGTCGATCACGCTCCGCGGAAGCGAGGGCCAGCGAGCGCTCACGGTCCGCCGACCGCGGAGCCCCGGGCGATCGGATCGCCCATCACGGGTGGCTCCAGGAGCCCATCCTCGCGAAGGTCTGCCCGATGCTCCCGGACGACCCCCGGGGAGCCGAGGATGCGTATGGCGCGCCCCCGGCGAGTCCTTGGTACATTCTACTGGGTGAATGCGAGGGGCCCGACGCACGGGGCACTGGCGGGGACGCCCGACTTGTCATCGGGACCAGCCTCGAGGGTGTCAGGGTGGAGGTCCCGGCCAGCGAGGTCGTGCGGCATCCGCCCCAATTGGAGGACGGGCGCTACCCGATCGATTGGATCAATCGGCTGCTGTACGAGGTCCCCCAAGGCGCGCGGGAAGTGGGGTTGCGTGTCATCGCCCACCACGTCCCGCAGGATCTGCTGGCGATGTTACGCCAGGAGCAGTGGGGCGGTGTGGGTGTGGAAAGTGCGAGCGGCTGGAGGCGGCGCTACCTGACGAGCGCGGAACGCCAGCAGCTGCAGCACGACCCGGCACGCACGCTCGGCCACCGCCGGCGGGGCGGTGCGCAGGGAGCGCAGCCTGCGCCCGGGATGGAGGGCCTGCCCCGCCTGGCCCCCGTCGCAGCCCCGCAGCGCCTGGCGGCGGCCGCCGCCGGCGTGGGCGAGGATGCTGAGGAGCCCGATCCCCTCGAGATATTTATGGATACCTTACGAGCGGAGGATCTCAAGGGACGAGGGGGCCAAGCAGCGGCCCTCAGCGCGCCGGGTATGACCGCTGACCTGCTCGGGATCCCGCTTGATCAGGCGGACCGGCAGCTGCGAAGGAGAATCGCTCAGGTGGCAACGGCGGGCCCCCTGGGGCCCGATCTGGAGCGCGCCCTCGCGGATTTGGAGGATGCGCAGCTGGAGGCACGCGCGCGGGAGCGTGCCGCGGCCAGCGACAAGGTTCCCCTGCAGGGCAGCCTCTCACGCGAGGGCTCGCGGAGCCGCTCGGCGCGGGGACGGGATCCCAGCCCGAGGCAGGCGCCCCGGCGCGAGCTCTTCGGGGCCATGCCCACCGTCCAACCCACGGGCCCGCGTCGCGGCCTGCTGGGCGATCGGGACCTACTGGCGCGCGAGGGACGCGGGGGCCCCGCTCGTGGGACCAATCCGCTCCTCGACGGACCCTCGGTCCTTGGGCAACTCACCGGTCAGACGCCCCACGGGGGTGGACTGGGGACTGGGTGGGGAACGTGCCGGTGGTCCGGACGACGCCGGGGCACCTGGGGCCCTGGGCGGCCTTACGGCCGAGGCCGAAGCCCAGATCATCGAGCGGTTGGATCGCCAGAACCGCCTCACCGAACGCAACGTTCTCGCCGCCGAGCGGCAGGCGCGGGCCACCGAGGGCGACAAGAAGGCCCGGGGCACCCGGGCGGGGATCGGTCGGGACGAGGAACTGGACCTCTACATAGCCAGAGGATGCAACACCTTCGTGGTTGAGGCCTGCGAGGGGATCACGGGGATGGATCTGTTCGACTCCCTCAAGCGCATGTGTGCGCACTCCAAGAGCACGCTCAAGGCGATCGGGTTTCCCTGCCTGGTTACCAACCGCGTGGCGCACGGCTACGCGGCGCTCGCCTTCGGGACGGGCCCACGCGACCTGGCAGTGGATGACTGCATCCCGGCGCGCGACGAGGACTTCGACGGCCACAGGCTCCCTGTGGGCGACAAATTGGAGCCCCACCAGTTATGACAGTAATGTCCTCCTAGGGGCCCATTCACTGGAACTGGTCAAAAAATGGTTCGGACGACGCCAACATAGATAGTGGTTTGGGAGCTAAAGATTTTTTGTTTTACAAATGGTCATGTTTCGTTTGGTTTGGTTGCGGCGGTCAGTTCCATCTAAAAGCATCACACCCTCGCAGTTATAATTATCCTGCCAGCCTGCCCTCTCTCTGTCCTCTCACCTTCTCCTTGCGGCAATCCTGCGCTTCCGTGCGTCCCCCCTTTCGCTTTCCTCTAGGCCCATTCGATTTGCCCTCGCGTGCCGCGCCCCCCAGAGGGGGGGTCCGACGCTATAGTAGGAGGAGGGAGGGAGGGGGGAAAAGGAGGAGACCCTTAGGAGGAGGAGGAGGAGGCGTCCTTCGCCTTCTCCTCCTTCGCCTCCTCCTCCTCCGCCTCCTCCTCTCCCTCCTCCGCCTCCCCCTCCGCCTCCTCCGCTCGAAACGTTGGAGGGCCGACGATGTAGGAGGAGTGGTGGGGGAGGAGGAGGGGGTAGAAGCCTTTTTGGCTAGGTTTTTAATGCGCGGCACACCCCTTTCGGGGTGGGGGATTGAGCCATGTGATTTCAGCTATCGTTGATTTGAGCCACGGCCGCTGCTCCCAGCTTGGAAATATGGTGCCACCTGTGCGTTGCAGCGCTCTCTGTAAGTAGGTCACAACGGCGATGAAACCACGCGTGCAACCTAGCGCACCACGCAAGCAATGCAACTCCGCCCGAAGCAAACATTTCCGCTCCGTAATCAGCACAGCCACGTTTTCTGGGCGAGCTCGAATCATCAAAGCTGCAAGGTAGCTCAAGATAATCGCGCGGATGGTTGCGTTGTCATTGCATTGCGTCCATGGCGTTTGTCGTTGGCTCGAGGGCTGCGCGCTCCGCCGTCGGGCCACCTGGGGTTAGGGGTCTTCGGTGGCATGGCGGCCCGAGCGGACTTGTTCGCCGACGATCCGCCGCCCACGCCAAAACCCAACCAGAAGCGGTCGCTCCCAGAGGAGACGCCGAAGTGGCAGAGTGGTGTGTACATCGCGCGCCCGACACCTCGGGATCTGTTCGACGGGCCTGATTTCCTGGCAGAAGAGGAGATGGTGCGCAGGGGCGGGGAGATGTTCCAGGCGTTCCTGCGGGCCACCAAGAAGCGCGTCAGGGATGATCGCAGCAAGCCCATGGTGGGCGCGTGGTTGCAAAGGTTCGGCAGCAAAGCACAGCAGCAGCAGACCACGACGGATCAGAAACTTAAGTCCAAGGGCACCGAGCAGGAAGTCATCGTTATAGATTGAGGGCCTTGTGCGTGCACCGTCGTGCCAGTTCTTCGGGTAGCCTCACGTTGTTGGGTTCAGCGTGTTCGACTTAAAACATGTCTCATTGCATGGCGTCATATTGGTTGACGCGTCTTGCCATTCTCATTTGATAGTGTTGAGGTCTTGCCGTTCTCATTTGATAGTGCTGAGGTCAGTTATCACCCCTCTGGGTCTCTGCTGGCACGCACGGCGCCCGTGGCAACATCACGCGTTAACAGGAGGGGCGCGGATGAGGGGTGGTGGTGGTGGACATGCGTCGCCGCGCTGGGTTCGCCTCGAGTCTTCGGAACGCTACGTGGTCCTTGGGCCTTAGACGGCCCTGGTGTAGTAGGAAGTGTGCGAAGGGGATCGTATGGGGTATCTCGTGTCGGGCTAGTTTGCCTGGATGGCCTCTTAGGGACACAATCCAGCGAGGTTGATTGTCTCGCGGGGGTGCGGAGGTGCACCTCTGAGCTCGTGGAGGCTCTAGCTAGAACTGGCGCGATGCCGACGTCAACCGCGCATTTCGCATCGCACGCGTTAGAAACCCCAAGCACTCTGAGGTCATTTGGAGACGGTCGTGCTTCCCCCCCGCTCGCCCCCCATCGTAACCGTTTGGGTTCGGCTTCTGTTTCGGTTAGCGCTGAGCTTGCTCCAGCCGTGGTCGCGGCGATGTCTCGGCATGCCGTGGGGCGATCTCCTGGCGGAGTGGCTCGGGCCTGGCGGCGGCGCCGAGGCGGCCGCGCCTGGCGGCGGTGCCCCTGAGGCTGGGCGCGGGGCGCCAGCCGGCCGCGGCCGCGGCTCGGGGCCGTGCTGCTCGAGGCCGCGCGGCCCGAGGCCGCGGAGCCCAGCGGCGGCCCGCAGCTGCCGAGAGGGCCGAGGCAGGAGGGGACCCGCCACCGCAGAGGCGGCTTCGGACGCCCGTTCTCGGCGAGTACGCCGCCGACGTCGTCGCCCGCGCGTTGGCGGACGAGGCGTTCCCAGAGACGCCCAGCCTGCTGCTGCCGTTGCTCCAGTCGTGGCTAGAGGCGGCTCGCAAGGACGATTGCCAGGTGGACGATGCTACCCTGCGGCTGCTCACCAGCCGCCTTGATCCCTCGGTCCCTGCGCTAGTGATCTCCCTCGGCGAGCTCAGCTCGACGTTCGGCATCGACTACCACGAGGCCAAGAACCGCGTGATGGACGCGGCGTGCGTTGCCATTCTTGCCGACCGCGACCAGCGGAGGGCTCTGGAGTTGGCGCTGACCAGCGTCGAGCGCGGCGGCGCCGTCGAGATCGAGCCGATGCGCTACGCTGAGGTTCTGATGCACGACGAATCTCCGCACACGAGGTTCAACGATTTCTTCAAGTCAGGCGGCCGCCACCGAATGGTGGAGGCGCTAGCCTTGGCGCATCCAGAGGCAGTCGATGGCGGCGATGTGGCGATCCAGGCATTACCTCGGAAGCTGGCTGCGCTGTGCTCTTCAGAAACAGGGCCCATGAAGTTGTTGCAGATAGGGTCAGAGTATTCGATGTTGTTGCGCGTCAAGGATGCGGCGCAGGGCACGTCGTGGTGTATGATAACAGGAGAGCAGCCGAACCACTTGCAGCTCATCGATCGTTGTACTGGTGAGAACTGCAGGCAGTGTTTACATAATGTTGAGGGCGCTTCGCTCCGCAGACTTGGTTTCGAGCAGCGCAGCCGCAGTGCGTGTTTGGACAGGGCCCCCACGAACGCCAAAACTGAGCGTGGCGTTCGCACGAAGGACGCCCCCCTGGATCAGCACTTGAACTTGGACTGCGGCGCCCGCGTTGCCATGACCATCAAGACGCATCTGTTCTCTGCCATCAGGCCCACCATCGTTGGCATGAAGCGGGCGGCGGCTTCGTTGCGAGTCCTGGGTTCTATGATGTCATTCAGGCGCATCTTCAAGGTCGTTGTCAAGCCATTGATCTCGATTAAGTTTGGTGAGTGCCCAGCCGATGCAACCTTGTACCGAATGCGATGCATCGGGCTTTTCACGACCAGCCTCCAGTGTTCAGTTCCCAAGCTGGTCGCCAGGCACATGTTCCCCAACGGGGAGTGGCGCGACCGCCGCCGAGTTCCAGTGTATCTGCCAGGCGTTGAGGCTGACTATACGCCTCTACAGCTTGACCGCCATCGGGATCTTGTAGTCGAGGGCTTGCGCCATGCATTCTGCAGTTGGGCACCCGACAATTTCGCAGAACACCATTGGACTGGCCACACAGAGTGTACTTGTGCATTCGGAATGCTGGACGCGTGCAACGGCATCCTTGCCCATGTGTACGAGGCTTGGGCCAGCAGGAAGGGCACGCGGCGTCGCAGACTTGCTGCGGCAGGTGGCGGGCCAGCTGGAGCTGTGCCCCTTGCGGGCGCGGCTGCGCATGCTGGCGGAGAGGGTGGCGAGCTTGTTCCTTATGTTCCTGGCGTTGCCGCTGGCCTCCCTGGCTCCCCCCGCACCGCCGCGGCCGCTGCGGAAGAGCAGAACTCTGTTGACAGGGCCATGGCGCTTGAGTGGATTCAGAGCGAGACTTTGTTCGATGTGATGCTTATGCGGCTCGCTCTCACTGCGCTGGTGCCCTTGGACCACGTTGGCCTCGCTATGGCTGGCGAGGCTTGGGAGAATGAGCAGCGCCACAAGGTATCGCAAGCGTTGCCCGAGGGCGTTCCGATGGAAGAGGCGATGTCACGCAGGCAGTTTCGGATCACCGTTGCAGCCAGGGGGGAGGCAGAAGCCAGCGCCTTCAACAAGCTTCGGTATTTGTTTGAGGAGGACGAGTTCTGGACGATAGTGCCACGGAAGTATTACACAGAGGCCAGCATCAGTAAAGTGCTTCGGCTTTTCAGCTGACTCGGCGCGCTGATCGAGGAGTTGTGGGCGTCCCCCAATCGCTCGTTGGACGTGCAGCTGTTCAGGTTGATCCACGAGCCGCAGCGTCTGGCTGAGGTCCGAGCTGGTCGGCTTCGAGATTATTGTATGTACGGCACGTTTGGCAGGGCGTTCTTGGATGACAATGTGGGTTGCGATGACGATCGGGAGATCAGAGTGCGGCTCGCATTCCTGGCTACCTCGATTCGTACGTCGATGGCCCCTGTGGAAGCTGGGTGGGCGTGCGTGCGCCGCTTGTGCAAGAAACTTGGGTGCCAGACTCACCAGCAGGAGCTCGGGTACATCTCTGTCCTGTGGGTCTTGAGCAGGTTTCGCGCGCGGGCGGAGAACGACCTGACCCTGCAGGAGAAGTTCCGCTTGTCTGATCACATGGCCTACCAGCGTGACGGGAGCGATGCCGCCGACGATGACGGCGCTGAAGGTGAGTTCATTTATGGTTGGTGCGGCGCTTGGGGGGCCTTTGTCGCCGAGAGCGACGTCGGCTTGTTCCGCGACTTCCGCGACCTAGGCAGGCGTTACAGGGACGTCAAGGCTAACGACCCTGCTCGGTGCGCGGCGCTGGTTGCTGCAGGAGAAGCGGGCGCTGACAGGCGGCGGGCTGGCGAGCGGCCATTTGGACCCACCGCGAGGGACACCCAGCGAGCTGAGCATCGAGCCCGACAGGAGGCGCGCGCCAAGGAGCTTGCTGATCGGAGAGACGCGCGTGGCATCGACGCCGAGGGCGGCATGATGGAAAGTTTGGCAGGGGCGATCGTTGACGGCGGCGCGTCCTTCGAGGCACCCCTGCAGTTGGCGCGCACCGACGCTGCGTGGTTCGGCAGGGCGAAGGCGGAGGAGAAGCGGCAGCTCAAGGCAGGCCCCACCGCTTACAGTTCCCGAGCGGCGCCAGGCCTTGGGAGGGCAGTGTTCGGAGCTGCGCCCTCGATGGCGCCGCTGCTGGGACAGCTGGGCGCAGCGCCTGCAGCCGTGGTGGGCTTGTCCCACATGTGTTTTCACAGTCAGGCTGCAGTGCGTGCGACGTGTGTGGCGTCTCTACTTGCCTCCGCGCGTCGCGCGAATGGCCGCGCGGCGAGGCCGCTGCTCGGGGCCGACTGGGGCAATAAGCACTCCATGATGATGCACGCTTCGGCAGAGCCGATCCCCAACGAGACCGCCGCCGAGGCGCGACAGTGGAAGTGTGCCAGGGCTGGGGTCCACTTGTGCGGCGAGAAGGGCGGCCAGACGTATGCCTTTTCGGAACTCGTTCTTGAGGGTCTTGAAGGTGCGACGCCCCCGAGCATCTGATATGCGCCAGAAGCTGATCGATGGCAAGCTCTTCATGGCCATCCCCAGGCTTCGAGCTGCGCCTGCGGCTGGTACGCCATTGAACTTCGAGGCGGCGGGCGTCGTAGTCGAGTGCCACCACCTGGCGGTGCGCTACTTGAACCCGTTCCGCCCCACGTGCATGACGATGCACCGCCAGCGCTGGGGCGGCCCCGTCGTTCGCTTGAAGGCTGCAGGCGCCAAAAGCGCATTTTCGCTTCCAAGCCGCCCCGCCCACGCAAACTACCAGGGGGAGAGATGATGAGGACTGATGAAGAGGGGGGTGGGGAGGGAGAGGGGGGGGTGGAGGAGGATTGAGCAGAGGCGGTAAGCGACGACGCGACGAAGGGGACGACGAACGAGAAGGAAGGGGGGGGGCAATGACGATCGTTGAAGTCTGCGAGGGGGGAGGTACATGGCGGGGGCGGCCTCTGAAATCCGAGCTGGAGGCTTGGGACGTCACCCCCCCCCTCCCGCCTCCTCCCCCTCCTTCTCCTCCTCTCCTTCTTCTCCTTGTCCTGCTCCCCTCACCCCTTTCACCCTTGCCGCGCCCCCCCCCCCCCCCCCCCCCCCCCCGACCCCCATGGCGTTTTTTTTTTTTTCCGCGCAGCGGACCTGGGGGCCATTGAAAACGATGCCGGGGGCCCTGGGCCAACCTGACAGTAGGGGGGGGGGGGGGGGGCGCGAGCCGTTCCCCACGCCACCCCCCTAAAGGCAGCGCTGGAGTGGCAGACGTTGCACCGCCTGTCCGACCGCGTGGACCTGCGAGGGGGCCCGCTCTTGCACGGGCAGCGGCTCGAGCTGCGGGAGGGCGGAGGGCCTCGCGGCCTTTTCAGGCCAACGGACTTTGCAGCGTTCGTCCACCGCGGCGAGGGGGGCGCGGAGACGTGGTTCCGCTTGTGGCCGCCCCAGACCGCTGCGGACGATGCGGGCCAGGATTCCGAAGGCCATGAGTCGGGACATGGCGACGAGGAGCATCGTGGGCAACCAACGTTTGATGTTTCGGTTGTGTGGGTCTTGCTGCAATCAGGGCTACTGGCTTTCGTTGCTCGTAGCCCGCGGTAGCTTCTGGGTCCGTGGCCCTGGGGCCGCGCCTTCAGGGTCAGATGCGAGGATGTAGTGGTCAGGCGGGCCGCAGGAGGAGGAGGGGGAGGAGGGGGCGGATGGTGGGTGTGATAGGGCGCACATCCTGGCAACGATTGGCGGGCTACGAGCAACGAGACACCCTAATGTTACCTTGCCCTGCCCCCCCCCCCCCCCCCCCCCCCCACCACACACACACACACACACACACACACACACACACACACACACACACACACACACACACACACACACACACACACCACACACACACACACACACACACCACACACACACACACGCACACACACACACACACACTGAAGGGAAGAGAAGTAATCTTAGCTCTTGAACTCCGTGCCCTGGTCCCCGTAGGTCTCCCCAAAGTCCTCAAGGAGCGCCTTAGGAAGCCCTGCAAGGCCCATTGAAGCCACCCAAGACATCCAAGATAAAGCCCAAAGAACTTAGCCCAAGATATCGCGGCAGCGTCGTAAAACATAGAGTCCAGATACAAAAGACCAATCTGCTGAAGTGACAATTCACAACATCATTATCGTGATAATGTTTTTCCTGTCTGGCCTGATTAGCGTGTCATGTCTTTGAACATCAGCTGCTGCCTAGGCGACGCTGGCCTTGCCCTGTGCAGGGCGCCAGACAGCTGGCCAAGAAACGTTTTGAGACAAAACGGCGAGAGCGAAACCGACGTGCATACAATCAGATATATTGTTATTGCGAGGGCAAGTATGTGTGTGCATGCAACTACATTCTAGTCTGGTTGGCGCCGTCAGACCGAACACATCAATCTGAGACCGAAAACTCACGAACATAGGCGTGTGAGTGCAACTATTTCCTAGCTGGATTGGTTGGCGCCGACAACCATATCCGAGCAATCTGAAACCGCAGCTGAGCAGAACTATGCGAGTGCAACTATTTCCTAGGAGGACTTGGTTGGCGCCGACAAACATACATCAGCAATCTGAAACTACACCCGAAAAGTGTATCTGAGCCCGTGTGCAGCCCCTAAACTGCAGACTGGAATATACAACATTCGTAGAATACAGAACCTGAAGAATGCAATCAGCAATGTTAGGATGAAGTGAAACAAACACACACACACACACACACACACAAGCCTCCCAAAGAAGGGTGGGAAAGCCTGTACAAGGCAACAGAAATTCAACTGAGGGCTTCACGACAGATCAGAAGTCCCAAGTGTCACCGTATTGCTGCCACAGTCGGCTGGCCCACCAAGAAAGATTGTCAATCTCGCTCCTGATCTTGGCTAAAGATGCTGTCCTTTGAAAACTTCTAGCCCATGAACCACGTCACAAGCCCGCTCATCGTAGTCATTATTCCCATGACCGCCGAGGGATCTTTGGCAAGTGCCGAAAAGCTGAAACCATGCTTTGCAACAGAAGAGAACGATCCAGCATGCCCTTGAAGGAGACTGCCAGTAAGCCACTTACAAGCCGCAAAAGGTACAAGTGTCAACAGCTTCATGCACATCTGTTCTAGAGCGTACTCTAAAGCATAACGGGTGTCGAGAACAAGGTAGGCACACTGCAGACCACACCACAACATCAGTAAAGCTGCCATGCATTGCATCATACGTCCAAGGCACTGCCACGAAAACCATGGATGGTAGTCGGCAGCACTCGGCGGCAACTTGCGATCTCACGGAATCGTGATGGTCTGGAGACTCTGGTCGGCCACCGAGCCTTCCTCCGTAATGCGACTGAACATGAATTCGCCAATCTGCTTCATCCCAAGGTTTTTGATGTCGGTCTCGTTGGCGCCAAGGGACACTAACTTCGTCTTCCACTGCGGGAGCGACTTATTCTTCTGGAGAGCGCTCCACCACTCCGCAAAGGGCAGCTTATCGGACGCATCCGCCACCGCCTGAGCGAGCTCCACCGCCGAGGCCCTCTCAAGGCCGATCCCGAAGGTCGCGAGGCCGGACTCGTGGAGGCTCTTGGAGATCTCCTTGTTGAACAGAGGGAGCTCGATCGTGGGTCCCCGTGGTCCTGGAAGGACTGTTGGCGGAACCTCAGATGGGCGGCCACCTTTTCCTGTATGCCAGGGGTTAGGCGTGCTGATGAAGGCCCTGAACTCCGCGAACATGTCTTTGATGGTGCTCTGGGTCTCTTCTGCCGTCCTCTGAAGCCCTCCAAGCTGCTTAGCCTGAGCGCTGACCGTGTCAGATAAACCTGAAAACTCGGCACGCAGCTTCTTGAAGGCCGGGTGATTCTCGAGGTCGAAAGGCTCGTCGCTGGTAGAATTGCCCATCAACTCATGGAGACGCTTGATGGTGTTGGTGAGGCGCGTGTCGGTCGGGCTCTTGTTAGACCGATTCTCCAAAAGCTGAGTGACTGCCTGCACAAGGTCGGTAGCTGCCTCGGTCGTCGGAGCCTGGCTCGCTGGCGCGGCAAATGCCGTGCCCGCAGGAGTCGGGGCGGCTGCATTCTGCTGGGCCAACAACTGCGACAGCTGGCTCATCTGACCCATGGCTTGCATTTCCGACATCATACTCTGCCATTGAGAAGCCATACCTCCGAACTGTCCCTTGCCGCCGCCACTGAAATTGCCGTATCCCCAAGACCTGCCACCTTTTCCACCCTTGGGCCAGTTCTGACCGCCCATGGCTGGAGGTGCTGGCGTAGGTGAGGATGGAGCGGTGTCGGCACGACGGGCTCGCACAATCTCGCTTGTGGCCGTGAAAGCGGCTGCAGCGGACAAGGGAGGCGCCAGAAGATGAGAACAAGTTTGGAACGTAAGTTGGACACAAAGCCACAGGAGACTATAGCGGGGCCCTGGGGGGAGAACCATGGACCATATCTTCTTGATCAGAGAGCACGGATACCCAAGACGAAGGTAGACCAGGACATCCACGCAATACAAAAGGATAAGGTTCTCCTGGGTTAGGCCCAAACGTTCCCAACGCCGTAGACGTCCTTTTAGTTCACTACGATGTTGTAAAACTTGTCGTCGATTCAGAGAACCCATATATGGTGGTATGCTGTGTTTGGCCCTACGTGATACATCCCCTGTAAGCGCGTAAGCTTCATTCTTGTGAACACAGTAGACCAAAACCCGATTAAAAGCCACATGGAGTTCCATTTCCAAATAGGGAAAGATAACAGTGCCGTGTAAAATATATTGTGTACTAACCACGTCGAATACTACTGTTTTTCCATATACATCTTGTACGTGTATGTGTAGACACTTATGACATGTAGTATAGGACAGGAGAAGGAGATCATCCACATACCGCTTGCATAACATCCTGCGTTGTCGGTTTTTCCACACAGCATCAGACAGGTGCTCGCATTCCGAGAGCACTATATGCAAGATGATCGGGCTCAATGGCCCGCCAATCGGGATGCCCTGCAGCTGCGTGAGACAGAACCCTGCACACAGGAAAAAGCGAAAGCCCATAAAGCCTGTAAGAGCTCGACGCAAACTTGACATGGTGAACACAGTCCGATCCCAAAACTTCGTCACAATGGTGCCACCTGGGAAGACATGTGAACGGCGAGACTTCAGCACTGAGATGCAGCGGTGAGGGATACGTTGCCTTACACGTTTGAAAAGGTTATCAATAGATCGCCAGATGCGCTCCAATCGGATGGCCTCGTACGCTTGGCCTGCATCTGCGACACACACACCAGGAACATGCATGATCTCATTGCACCGAGTACACCTATACGACGTAGGGGCCTCCAGAAGGGTCAACTCCGAAGTGATCTCGTCCAGGGCAGAATCCAGATCCCGAAAAGACCAACCAGGAGTGACGACGTCGACCAGATATTTGATAGCCCTGCCCATACACCGAAACAAACCACGCCCGGGGAACTTCACGAAGCTGCAAATGTTTCGAACACAGGAGTGCGAAGCCTTCGAACAGCGATGACGACCTTGGGGTGGGCACGTGGGTGAGGGATCCCAGCATTTTAGTTTGACCGTGGGGTAGGCGTACGGGATGTTCCTTTGGGATATGGCGCTTTCTCCCCGTTTTAGTAGGGACTTCGGGACCGACGCGTCGAAACATAACCGATGCCAATCCACGATATGACTGACTGGAGACGCTGAGAGAGACCACCGAGACGGAGCCCGTGCCAGAACAGCTAGCCAACGAAGTAGCATGGCCCACGGGGCAACAAACCAAAGCGTGTTGGGATCCTTATCCTCAACTGTGGCCGTGAGTGTGTTGCCCGATTCTGCCAGCTCCTGACACATCTGCTGGCAGGCTCGTACTGATAAGGTTGGAGGAGGAGGTTCAGGACATGGAGGAAGTTGGAGATGTTGTAGCAACTCAAGATCGATTGCCTGAGAAGAAAGCCACCGTGCACACGCTGAGCGGGTCACCTGTACCGCTTCCTCTGCTGGCAACTCAGGGTGTGGAACTCGACCATTAAAGTCACATCGAATCATATCCGAACCTAGGGCAGCCTCCTGAAAAACCCAATCTGGTAACTCACTAATACCTTCCAAACTGAGGTCCTGAAGACTCCTGGAAATGGAACTATACTTTTGCCGTAACGTCTGAGGGAAAGCCACTGAAATGGAAAGTTGATGTTTGCAGATTTGGGCCCAAAAAGGCCGGGTACCCTGGATGTCCTTGAAGACCTTCTGGGGCCATCTACGAACACGAAACACCTCATTCTGGCTAGATACTGTAATATGTGTAGGGCTTGGCCTAGGATATCCAACCATTTTTAGAAATTCCCCCAGACATCCCTGAACTCGTAATCTATCTTGGTAGTTAGGTAGAATAGCTGTAAGCTGCCAAATAAGATACAATCGATCATATTCTTGTTGCCCTCGTAGGAAACGCTGCCATATAATCTCATTCGGCCTTAAGGCCACCCATCTGAGGAACAGCAATGGAGAGCCACTGTACACATCCAGCGGCCCGAACTCGCGCGTACGTTGCACATGCCGCGCGAGGAAGTGGTCGTAGGTGAGGGGGAAAGGACGACGCA